CCTGTACACTTCTGACCCATGGTAAAGGGGAGCTCCTGTCGTGAGGGAGCATTAACATCACTAGCTGTAGCCATTAAGGAGGGGATGTTGCACTTGTCTTGAGACTGAAGTGATCGCTCTTTAGCCTCACAAGCTGTTGGTAACAGCACCCGAGGAGGTCAGTAATTTTCCAGAGCGCCTATACCTTCAGTTGATTTAGCCTGCTCAAACAGAAGAATCATGTAAAAGCCAAGGGAGCATGTGAGGCCTCTCCCAGGCAGTCCCTTGTTTGCTCATTAACTGGCCAGAAAAGTGATTCTCAGGTCACTGACTGTGGTAACTCCTGCACAAATGGGCTGAGGATGGACATGTCATGCCAAGGGAGCTGCAGCAAAGGAGAGCTCCTTCCATCTTAGGTGGTTGGGCTGCCTGCTTCCCCCTGGCCCTGAAATCCCTTGGCTGTGGATTCCTTTTGTTCTGGGAGACTGCGAGTTCCTTGCTGCCCCTGTGACAGTGCCTGGAAAAGAGGTCAGAGCTGTGGGCCCAGCCCTAGGTGAAACTGTCCCAGTCCTTGGATGAAGCTGCCTGATGGGGTGTGCTCCCCTCCCTGGGAGGGCAGCTTCCCCGGCTGTGCTCCAGCAGCTCTCCACGAGCACCCTGAGAGCCATCCCCATGCAGCCTCGGCCCGGCCGTGAGGTCACAGGCCATGTACAGAAAGCCAGAGCTTCTCATTTTATAGCACAGCAGCAAAAGAGCCCACCGGGGCTGGGAAAGGGCAGCCGCAGCCTTCGCAGCAGGCTCTGACACCCTGTGCCTGCAAAGGCCCGCGGAGCTGAGCATCAGCAGAGCCAAGTAAAACTAAAACACACCCCTGGAGAGGGATATGGAGGGCAGGGTGGGAGCAAGGCTGTCGCCATGGCCAGGGACAAGGCCACACAATGGCAGTTTTTCTGCACAAATGCTTCAGCACACGCTGAAGGACCTTCAGGGAGTTCAGCAGTGCTGACCGGCTGGTGGCTTTTTCCCTAACTTCTGACCCTACAAGAGGGTGGATGTTGAAACGTTGATCACTTGTAGAGAGGAAAAAAAGGAATAACCTCTGGGGAGTTGCAGAAATTTGGAGCACTTAGCCTTTGCCAAACTGGGAGCTGCATTTGCAAGAGCAGCCACAGCTACCTTCTGAGCAGCACAAACTATTAAGGGTCATATCTATATGCCTGTGACACACCTAAGCAATGCGCACTGTGGTGTAACAAAGCTGCTGGTGGCTCAATAGCTGCTCCACGTGTTTCCAGACCTGCTGTAGCAAAATCTGATGATCACTTATTAAAAGGTCTGTACAGACTTGGCTTGCCAGCAAAGGCACAGGACAGCCGCTTAACATCTCCATAACACCCAGCCAAAAAAAAGGAAACTTGAGACTCAAGAACCTGCAGCGTAGCCTGCTATTAGCAATAGTATCATTGGTAATGAGGCGAAACAAAGATGACCATTTCTCTGGAGTCTGTCAATAGGGTCTGCAATATGCACTAATTTCATCTTGTGCATCTTCAGCCTTTATTGCCACTGTCTCAGTAGTGATTAGAAACCAGAGATTTTTTTAAATGTAAATAATAAAATTTGTGCTATAAGTATGTAGCTGTACTACCCTGATCCACTTTCTACATCACATGATATTAGAAAGCTTCTAATGAATTTGAAGAAAATGTAATTTTGACTAGAAGTAAAAGTTTAAGGAAGCAATAAGAAAAAACAGAGGTGAGCATGGTGTTCTGCTTGGTTCTTGATGGGGTTTAGGACAGATGCTAAAAGATGTGTATAGAACAAGAAACTCCTGTTTCTAGTCAAATATTAAATAAAATTAGGCCTAGTTCTTAAATTCAACAGGCTTTAGCAAAAATTAGTTTGAGATATTAGTATAATGAATTAGTTATTACGGCAAGTAATCCCACAGAAGGGTACAGAATGAGAAAAAAATCTCCAAAAGGTCTCACTAAAGTTCAACATGATCCACTCTCCCATACGACTCTGCAAAAACTTTCATGGCTAAACCTCAGACTTGCTCTCTGCTCAGCCAAGGCAAATGGCTGTTTTCTCATTATCTCTCAGCATAAGAGGGTGTTATTAGTTTAGTGATAGTCTGGAGGGTTGGGGGGTGGGTTGTACTTACTACTTCTTGCTTTTCTCTTCTCTCTCTCTCAAAGGTGTTCAGAGTTTAAAACCAGAAAGGTATCTGTAAACTAGCCGTAGCCTGCAAAATACAGCTGACAGTGAAGCATAATCCTCCCTCAGTTACTTGAATTTTGCAGTCTCACAATAATTGTTTAAGCAGACTTTATTGAAAGAGAAAAGTAGCACCTGAATAAATGCACAGAAGGGACTAACTTAACCAACCCTTTGGATAAAAGTCAGGGTAGGGCAAGAAGTGTCATGGGAGTGTTTTAATCCATCAGAAATGTGATGACTAAATGAGCAATTACTACTCTGAATACGTACCATCACTGGGCCCCTCCTACACTCACTTAGGGGTATTTCCACGTTTCTCATGCAATCTGCCTGTGTGACAAATCTGCACACATGCTGTACCCAATTAGTGTCAAGCATAAGTGCTGCTCAGGATGTGTCTGATGTCTCTAAACCCCTCCTGGAAGCAATTTTCCCAGCATGCAAAGAATAAATCACTATTCTCCTAACTTTCTCAGAGGACAGTTACCAAATAAGGGCAAAATAAACACATGTAATACATGATAAAACATGCTAATAAATTAGATCATATTCTTCCAGCAGAAGTAGATGCAGAGTATTTGCTGCTTTAAGTGTTAAACATTACATGTAATTAGTCAGGGTAGGTGAGACAAGGCACTTGAATGGGCACTTGTGGAAAACTAGTAAAACAGCCTGCTTAAAAAAAAAACCAAAACAAAAAAAACCCCAAAGAACTAGAAAAGAAGAAAATCAATGCACACCTACTACAGGAAGCATAAGTTACTTTCTCTGTGTCCCAGCCTCTCCAGAAGCATCAGTACATGACAAAGAGAGCAGAGGGAGGGTAGGCAACCTGCTCTGCACATGCCCTCATTGGGCACCGACTGCACCAGGGTGAAACAGTTAGCTTAATTTGACAAATGGCAACATGACCACACCTTGTATAATCAATAGACACACTGTGCTATTGGACTGTCCTTAGTAGTCTCCTATGACACCAGCTATCACTCTTCACACATGTTTTCAAGTGACCAAACATCATGCTTAGACAGAGGCAATGCTTGCTGAGAAAAAGGAACTCTTACACCAGGATGTAACACAAATCCTCCTGAAACGAAGCCAAACCCCAAACTGTATTTTAGTCCAGCAGCGGAAAGGTTGGGTTACCTCTGAGCAGGCCTAGAAGGAGGTCAGGAGGCCATGGAAGCTGGGGTGCTTCCTTAGGTAAGAATACTACGGGCCAAAGACAAGATACTAGCATAAGAAAGGCTTAATTAATTAGTTAATTATCTAACCAGGGGCAGCTGTAGTGGGAAACACCAAGGTGAAAATGCCTGTTTCAGTGTAGCTGGTGTATGTTAGGTGCTAGGCTGGGCTTCCTTTTTCAGCGCTCGTGCACAGGAGAGGTCTACCCCTGCTTTCCTACTCTCTTGTTGCCTTCTGCTGAAGGCTGGCTGGGTCAGAAACCATCACCTGCTAGTGAAGGAGCAGCTCCCCTGAAAAGAAAGCAGTCTGTGGTGGCTTCAGTTTAACATTGTGCCAAAGAAGTTACATGCACCAGAGGTGGATGAGAAGGGCTCAGAAGAGAGCACCGATGAGCTTACCACAGGTACAGGACAAGCAAAGCCAAACAGAGGGATGCTTTGTTTCAGGTTATTCTACGAGAGGCAGCGAGGATTATGAGGAAGCACTTCGTATCTCTTTCTCCTGCCAGAAGACAGAGCATTAAACTTGTAGTCAAAGTAAATTGGTACTCTGAGTGGCCGAGAGTGTGTAGCAGCCTAGCATATGGGTGCTGCACAGCCAGCAGTGAGGATGTGCAAGCAGTCCCAGGCATGTGAGAAATTGCCTGTGGACAACTCAAGGACCTGAAGGACCTTTGTCTTTCAGGACCGTCCATCCTGATCTCTGATATTTGTGATTATCAGAACTCAAGAGGCCATTAATAAGAGTTACAGATAGCAAAACAGATTGCTATGAAAGAAAAGAAAAAGAGAACCCCCCCTGTTTACCACCATTCCCTCAGGCTAATCAGGAACTGGAGGCTGGATCCAGCCTAGGCTGCTCCCTGTTGCTTTCTAAGAGTGAGCAGACAATGCACTGCGAATGACACTTGACCATATAACGAATGGAGGATTTGCATCCGCTCACTTTTTATATGTGTTGCTGGAAAAGCACATCTAATTTGATAAAAATCTAACTTCCAGCTATGAAATCCAGAGAACTTTTGCACCTGGCAAAGGTTCAGGTGGAAATCTATCACAGGGTGGGTGATGAGACCTGAGAGACCCCTGGTCTCTAGTGGAAGCAAATGCTAGGCAGGGGAGGTTTGCTTAGGAAATGCTGATATTTTCTTTGCCTCAACCGACTTAGGTATCGGGATTCCTGTCTGACACTAAGCAGATAAGCTTGGTGTGGGGTTTTGGGGAATTGAGCGTGCCCCGGGGGGGCTGAGGGCTGGCCCAAGCAGGGTGGATTACCTGGGAGTAAACGGCCAGCGCTGCTCCTCGCAACCCAGCTGGCTTCTGGCCATCAGGGCTGGCTGCCCCACCTCGCTCATACCCCACACACCTGCAAACACAGCAGGAGATCGTCCTGTTTTCAAGCTTATCACCTGGTCAGGGTGGTGTAAAGTCGTCTTCCTCAGAGGGGCAGCTGCACTTCTCACCTACGCAGGAGCCCTCAGCGACTTCATGTGCAGGTCAGCAGAGGAAGAGTTTGAACGTGGCTCAGTCTGTCATGCCTCGGTGAGCCCATCCGTAACGCGGAGGTGACTCTGGTTTTGTGTTTTCAGCACCTCTCTGGTTGCAGGATGGTTTCCCTTCCCTGCCAGCGGTCCAGCTGCTCCGTCATGGGACATGGCAGCCCTGGGGCACAGGGACGTGGGCAGCGGGGCTGCCTCAGGGATGATGGCGGGGGCCGTTCCTGGGCACCCCAGCCCAGAAGGTTGGACCTGCCCCCCTCTGGCAATGTCCCGTTCCTGATGAGAGCGTGGTACGAAAACCACCCGTCTCCTTGCTCCCTGCACGGGTGTTCCCCCCTGCGCCTCCCTCCCTGAGCCTGGGGATGCTGTGGGCAGGGGGGCAGCGTGCCTGGGCCTCCAAACCGCCATTGTGGCATCCCCACTCGGCTTTACGGGAGCACAGGGCCTTTCCCCTCAGAGAGGGATCCCTGGCCTCCCGTTCGTGTCCCAGACGGGCCAAACAAGGGGGCCTGAGGCTTCAGTCCGAGCAGGGGCTGTGCTGGAGCAGCCATGGGGTGGGGGTCCCGGCCAGTCAGGGCCGCTGAGGCCCATCGGTGCCTGAGACAGGCCGGGAAGCTGCCCAGCTCCTCTCCCCCGCGCCGGCAGGATTGGCCCTCGTCCGCCTTCTCCAGAGCTCGGGGACACGGAAAACACGCAGCTCCTCCCGCCATGCCTGGAGTGTGGCCACCGGTGGCCAGAGGCCGCTGCCGGTCTCGCTGTGAGTCAGGGCAGGACACGTGAGGCCCCAGCGCCGGCCCCAACGCCTTCCCGCCCGCCTGCCATCGCGTGCGAGGGCTGGCGCTGAGCACACCCTGCCCCGGGATCCCGAACCATCGCACAGCCCTGCAGGTAAGTGCCGGGGAGGGGTTCGGGAGCTTCTTGTGGTCGAGACCGAGGGTGTTTCGGGGTTGTGTCCTGGCTCTGGGTACATGGCTGGGTTGTGGTTTACTCCCCGAGGGATCACACCGCTGTACGAGGGGTTGTGGCGCTGTGGGGGTAAGCCACAGGACTTCCCTGTAACCCCTATGTCTTCTTGACTGGACTTCCCCATCTTTTAAATTTTTTTTTTCCTATAAAATCCTCATGGCAAGCCCTGTACTTCATGCGTAGAGGAAGATTTGTTTGCCTTACTTTTACTTAGACTAAACCCATGAGCTCTTCTGGCTTCTGATGAGCTCATTTTCTTCCCTTCAGAGCTTTCCTACAACCACAGAGAAGAGCACGCAGCACATAAGGAGAAACACAAACCAGGTAATTTCAAATACTGTATGTAAATGTGTATGGGAGTGCTGCCATTACATTACCAGGCAGCAAACCGCCCCAGGTTTGCAGGTGTAGGGCTGGCAGCGGCACGGCCGCCATGTCCAGGCTTGCTGCGAGAGCCGGGAGAGGAAGGAAGCGCTGGCGCTGAGGCAAGGGGTGGACAGGCTGCACCCCCTCCCTGCTCACCCCCACGGGGACGGTCACACCGAGCCCGGGGAGCTGCCCTCCCTATGGTGACACACACTCGCTGGGTCTCTCCACCTGCCTGTCTTCAAGGACACTGTAAAGATTGAAAAGTCTGAGTTTTGCTACTTCTCTGTCGTATTTCAACTGTATTTGACAACAGGAAGGCAAACAGATGAGAAGTATCTTGTGGCATTGCCCAAGGAGACTAGAGTAGGAATGGTTTCAAACTGAGCCAGTGTGGATCGGTTTTTGTCGTCTCGCTGGCAGAAACTACCAGCTTTCACCACGGCCACAGTCCTCCAAGACATCTTCCCGTGGAACTAACTGCTAGGACCAACTTAAGACTTGTAGGTGTGCTTTATGAAACTTGTTTGGTTTGGTTTGAGAGAAGGGCAGGGAGGGGCTTTATGTTTAAAATAAAATCTGGCAAGATTTGGTGTCAGCATGTAACTTAAAATGAAAAGTAAATGTAGTTTCAAAGGGAAAAGGTTTATGACTGTCTGGTTTTTGTCGTGAAGTCAGAACAACCTTATTTTACTTTATTTACGTTTTTTGCTATCCCGTTGAACAATTTCACTCGGATACATTTCATCAGCTAAGCAAAAAGTTGTTGTGTATGGCAGTTATTAGCCTCACTTTCTAAACAACTAGGAGAAGTCTGCCTCTGCACACAGATTTTGTTCTAACATGTTAAAAAGACCTTGCTGCAATTAAGTTCTGATTTACTGTGGGGAAAGCAAGATGAGGTCTGTTGTTCATGTCATTCCCCAATGAGCTCACGGCCAGGCTCAAATGACAGTATATCATCATCCTTCTCTCATTATGAGGTATAATCAACTAAATCACTTTTAAAACATACAATGATTAAATGCCTATACTTATCCTTTGTTTAGATCTGCTTTTCTTTGCAGAAGAGCCACAAGAGAATTAATTGTCCATAGTCTAAGGGAAATTAGGTACCCAACTTCCTTAGTTACGTAAAGCTTGGCGACTGACTGGGCTTAGCTGTGCTGGAGGCACAGAAAGGGAGACAGGAGCAGACGCTGGCTGCTCCTGGATCCTCTTGTGGCATTCAGGTCTTATCATAGCAGGATGCATAAGTGCATTAGGCAAATGTGTTTCTGTTGCTGGTACAGCTGAGCAGTCCAATCATTCTGGCCAGCAAATGGAACAGTTTTAAGGTAAATCAGTCTGATAGCAAATGAGGTTGACAGTGTCTCTTCTGCCTTCAGTGTTGAATCTGCTTTTCCTTTGCACATGGTAGGACAGATCTGCTAGTGCCTACTTGCTTGCTCTGTCTTTGGAATGAGGCAAAGCCGGCATAAGGCAGCTGCTGCGACAGGTTTGTGTTACAGGAAAAGCAACGTGCCTCCAATGTGCCAATGAAAGTGGCCTTCATGAGGTAATAGAAGCCCCAAAGACAAACCTCCTGAATTTCACTCAACAGTGAAATATGTGGATATTTATAAATATTTTTATGAAATGGACTTCATCAGTCAGGAAAGAAATGGTTATATTTAAAGTAATTTTGTTCCTTTAGGCCTGATATTTCAACTGTGCAGTCCACAAATAGGTCTAAAGGATTTAACTTACAAAAGCAAACACTGTTGCAAGGTTTAAGCTGAGTAAATAGGAAGGCAAGAAAGATACTGAAAAAGGCTGAAAACCATAGCTGGAGATAAATAACTGCACAGAAATTACGTTCTTTATTGTGCAGCCGAGAATGAGTTTATCCAGGGTGTGGTATGCTGGATTCCTGTATTTCAACATCAGCTGTTGCTTACCGGGGCAGAGAGGACAGATGCGTTTCCTGCATTCCCTGTCCGGTGCTCACAGTCTCACGTTGCCAGTGACTGTCACACAGTGCTGCTGCCACAGCTACAGCAGCAAAGGCTTTAAGTCAGGCAAGGTTTGTGGGAGAGGTAAAAGCTTTTATTAGACTAATTGGTAGAGTTCAAAGCTTGTTTGTCCAAAAACTTGCCAGTTTTTCCATGTATATCAGGTGGTTAGATAAAACATATTACCTGTCATCGTAGATGTCTTGGATAAGACTCATCGTCAGGAATGATTTTAAAATGTTCTTAAAATATTAATTTTTTTTTTTTCACAGTACATCTAGGAGTTAGGTATGCAGTTTTCTGGGCTTAGCCTTCAAAAGTAGTTAAAGAGGTTATATAATTTTCCCAGAGCCAAACAGCAAACCACTGGCTAAAAAGAGTTTCAAACTAAGGACCTCATCGCTTGAAGAACACCAAAAATGTGGGACCTTGACCCTGGTTCCAAGGGAGGGATGGGTTTTGCAGCTACTTTCCAGTCTGTTTGCGTGTAATTTACTCTGAGAACTGACACACTAAAAAGTTGTTCTGTTTCCAGAATGAAGATGTTCTTGCTTGTGTGCTATACTATCCTTCTGAAGATATTAACTGGACCTGTTTTGGATTTTGTCTTAGAATATTTTTCTGACTGATACTAGAGAACTGAAACTGTCTGTAGGAAAAGAAACAGTTTTCCATCTGGAAAATTTAAAGGAAATACTTAGTTTTCAAATTGCTTGATTGAAAGTGTTTTGTTGAATGGACCCAAAAGTCATATTGTAAGAAAAAGTGTGGGTGTATAAACTGTTTTCCTATTGCACTGTGCATAGTGGAAACTGTACTTTAGGCTCCCCAAAAATCTTCTTTTGCATCTCAGTACAATAGTGTTTTAGCTGAAATGCTGTATGAGGGGAGATGCAGTCAGTGCAGGATGCCTGGACCACAGTAGGCGGAGGCAGCTGTTCAGAACCACAACCACCACAAAAAATGCATCATCAGAACAAAACAACCTCAGAACAAAATTTCTGGGGCAAGTTTAGCAAAACAAAAGGAAACATTGGATTTTGGGGATGTCAGAATGTTTTGTTTCCATGGCAAATACTAGTAAGAAATCTGGGATGGACCCTTACAAATTTTTAATTCATAAGCCTAAAGTTAGTGGAAATTTACTTTTCATGACAACTTCGGAAGAACAGACGTTGAAGCGTCAAAGTCTTCTGTGAGACAAAGTACGGATGGTACATTTTAAGTATAAGGATGTCAAAGGTACGGAATAATCATTCTGTTTTGTGAATGGAACAGGGCCTATTAAGTTACTCACATCTGTGGTAAATAGTTAATTAGACACCTTTGTAGCTGTAAAAAAACAACAATGTGAATGATCAAGTCAGACTTCTTTTCGTTTTACTCATGATGATCAGACTTTTGTTCTTTCTTAATAACCAAAGACCAGCCAGCAAGACTCACTCAGAGGAGTCAAGAATGGGTCCCAGGAGGGTAAATGAATCATCATGTGAAACTCCCATTGCAACAGAGAAGTGATTTCAAAACTAAAGCGCCCAGAGATAGATGCCATGTTTGCAGAAAATCAAGTGTAAGACAGAAAAACAGAGAAGTTCAGATCTGATCTGTTTCTAAATATGCTTTTTCTCCCCTTTCGAACAGGTACAGCAATGGAGAACTTGAATATCATATTTCCAGATTTTACTGAAGAACAGCAAGGTAAGGGTAGCACACAAAGATCAAAGCTTCGTCTCATTCACACTACACAACAGTGTTCGCTAGAGTAGTCTTGAGTCAATGAAACCTGTTTCCTCTGAAAACACACTCCATCCATCTCCTTGCTTGTAAGAGACCAGTAGTTAGTTCCCAGCTCTTCCACGGGCTTCTAATCAGGCCTTGGGGTATGTGCTTGTCAGAATTTTAATGCACAGCAAAATCTTCATGCATCTAATGCCTAATGAGCTATCTCAATACCTTGGTATCTAGCCCTTTGTGTCTTTGTGCCTGTCTGTAAAATAGCGTGGTCAGAATAAGCACCCATAGTAGGAATACTTCCCCTGCTTCTCTAACTGAGACAACAGCATCACAAAGACATCAGTAATTTGTATGGACTATCGACATTTTTGTACTTTTTTCTTCACTATGAGTGTGGTGAGGCACTGGAACAGGTTGCCCAGAGAGGCTGTGGATGCCCCATCCCTGGCAGTGTTCAAGGCCAGGCTGGCAGGGGATTGGAGCAACCTGGTCTGGTGGAAGGTGTCCCTGCCCATGGCAGAGGGGCTAGAACTAGATGATCTTTAATGTGCCTTCCAATCCAAACCATTCTATGATTCTATACCAATTTCTGGCAGACCGAGTTGCTTTATACAGTACAGCACTACTCTCTTTCCTATACGCTAACACACTGATGTTGGGCAGCATGTTAGATCTGATGTCTGTCACTACACCTACACTGAACACCACAGGAACACTACCATGCAACCCACCTCTACTGCTGCACAGTGATTGGCTTGTTTTTCCTCCCAGACGTTTTCCAGAGAGTTTTTACAGCTGATGCCAATTACTTGGAGAATCATGAGAAAATGGACCAGTCCTTCTGGGAATCACTTGTAAAATGTTTAGCCACCACTGACCCACCCATCCTGAATGCTGAAGAAAAGAACAATGTAAGTTACTACAGAAACATGCATCCTTTGTAAGACGTTGCTTTACAGATACTTTTATACTTCTCTGATATCCTTTGGGGAGAGAAAACACACACGCCAATTGTCTGGTATGCTAGAACATGCTAAATGGTGTAAAAGGACACTTGGATAAATGAGACTTGGGCACCTGCTTTTTACTTCATTGTTCTCCATGTGCAAGAACAACTGGCATTGTATAAATTCTTCAGGATCAGTCCAGCTCACCATTTTCTAGGCAGGACCATTGTTAGTAACATTTTGCTGTAAGACACTGCAGAGATTGCATGTCCATTTTCATACCCTATAACTATATTTTTCCAGCTCTTTAAATAGTTAACTATTACACACCATGTTTTTTTTCCCAGTTGACAGCTCTGCTCTGAGTTGCTGAATGGAGTTTACATTCTCTTCCCATATTTGGCATTACTCTTTGTCCCTGATTTCCCTGTTGTATAGTAGGGGCAGGGGATTACAGTTCCCACAGATGGGGTGAGATACATTCATTTATATAGCAGGGTATGTTTTTACAGGCTATGTTTTATGGGGAGGACTATTTGCTATTTACTTACCTTTCTTTCAGCTCCTCAACAGCTGCGATGTCCTGCCTGGAGGCTGTGTGGCCTGCCTGAAAGCCATAGAGAAGAAAGGAGTCAGGGCAATGGCTGTTCTTTACCTCTTGCTGAAGACAACCAACCCATCTGGATATAGGCAGCTGCCCAGCTCCAAGGGAAAGGGTGAGTTCTACCTGGCTGCTTGTCAGCTATTTTGTTAAAATTACTGCAGTGCCGGTGGGACTTGACACCAATTTGAAAACTCTGATATATGCTTGGAAGTGATTATTAGTGAACAACTAAAATGTCTAGAAATACTGCTTAGAAAAGTCACTTAGGTATGGTGATAATGGGAGCCAAAGATAGTATTTTACTTTAGTTTGACTTGGGCTTCTTCTGCAGAAAAACGCATGTGTGTTTAGGGAGAGAGGATGTCCTGAGATGATGCCAAAGAAATTTCTCTGGCTTAAAGTGGTGCCCCAGTTTTTCCTGTCTAGCTGGATTCATGACACCCAGGATACTTTTTTGCATGGACTGTTATCCAGCCAGCCTGGACCATTCTGAGCTCTCATAGTGGTAAGAAATCCAAGCTCAGTCACTGAAAATATTTTTGCAAATGGTCCTAGTGTTGTCCCACAAACAGAGTTCATTTACCCAGTGTGCAAGCCAATAACACACAGAGTCAAGGTATTTTCAAGTTAATTTCATTGATGCGCATGAATGGGTGCCTGTCTCAATACAGCATACCTTTGTCTCAAAAATTCCCACGTTTATATACTTAAGTAATACATATTCATTATTATTTCCCTTAACGATTGGTTCTTTTTTCTTCACCTCTCATGTAAATTAGTGCGCAGACTCTGCCTTCTTTTTTCACTGTCTTCTTTTGAGTAGGTGGTATCATTTGAATAGGTGGTCAATGAGTCGGTGGTTGAGCTCTCCCCCTGTAGGAACTGCCTTTTACCTACTTCTTCCCTAATCTTGGCAGTTCCAAGCAGTTCTTAAAGGTTTGTTGATCAGACCATGATCCATTATGTTTTCTGACATAAGCATTCTACCTATCTACAAAGCCCCATTGTCTAATAGTTTATTCCTAATCCATGTCTAGTTATTGTTTCCCTATTTTAAATATTAACCAATGGGGGGGGGGGCACTGTACACAGGACTTTAGCAGCTCCCTGGTTATTTCAGTCATGTTATACATATTAATTGATAACACTAGCAGCATATGTAGTAGCACCTAAAAGGAGTGGCTAGAGGATGCCACTCAGGGTGCTGAACCTGGCAACAAGATAGAAAAAGACTCCACTGCACTTCTCATTTGCCCAGTTGTGCAATAAAGTAAGTGCAGTTCCACAGGGTCTACAGAGTCATTAATTGTCTTTAATAGATCACAGAGCTGCACTCACTAAAGATAACCCTGAATTTAACTGGAGATACTCGAGGAGATCCTGTTCCTGCCTTGATCAAACATGTTCATGAAGGGGAGAGACCTCCCAGCCCGGACAGCAGCCCAGCTTTGGTCATGTCTCAGAGTAGGGACGTTTGTCACAGCAGAGACCCCCTTCCTGCTCTTGTACAGTGAGCACCATCAAGCAGCCAGGGGGGAATCATGTCTAGCTGCGTATGTCCAAATACTAGAACTAATCATGAAGAGATGCACAGACCCGCCGGCCCTCAGCACAGAGTTGAATTTGAAGCTGTTAAGAATCACCTGCAGCTCCAGCCAGACAAGGCAGGAGCACTTCACTGCCTGGCCCAGAAGTCAGCACCCTGCAGATTTCTCCTCCTTGGTGATTTTTGCCTAGCTGGCTCCGAGGGCTCTGCTTTTGTGCCACAAGAGGGTGCTGGCACTGCGGCATAAACACAGGAACTCACAGGGCTGAAGGGAGAAGTAGCCCAGAGAAGGGTGAGCAACCCCTCTCCAGCTAAAGCATCTTTTCAGCTGCAGCGGCTATTGCTTCAGGAAGTGGAGATTTTCACAGAGGTAGCATTATGGGCAAATTAAAGGCCAGAATATGAAACTTTAGGCATCTACCACAACCATTTGAGAAAGTCTAAACGGTAGGGTATATACTGCTTTCATTTGTAATGCTTTGTACTACTCCTTGTGTGCAAAAACCACAGCTGAAATAAGACCAAGGGTGTGATTTCCTGTCAGACAACCTTTAATAAAGCATTGTGGAATCTGTCATTGTAGAAGAGAGAAAATGTAAATAGTTGTTTCTGATATTTTTTTTTCCTCTCTCTATAAAACAGATGAAAAATTGAAACTCCTGAAGAGATTAGAAAGGAATCTCATGCTTTCACAAGGGGAAAAAAAGGCTGAAAACTCATCCCATGAGTCCATGGATGAAGATACACAAGGTAAAGAGGATTTATTTTATTTTTCCCTGATACATAACTTAGTCTGATTGCATGTTCGTAAGAGATTCACAGAGGAGACTTGCAGCAATTTAGTAGCAATTCTGCAGAACTCTGAAAAAAGTAAGAAATTGTGCAAAAGAGAGAACACAGAAAATAATTAGTACCCCTAGATTCGTTGTCAGTGAAATAGTGGCTGCCTTCCACTCTTGTGGAAGCTGGAGGTTTCAGAAACATAGAAATCTGCTGCAAGATTTCTTCCCAAATAAAAGATCATAACTTCTATCATCTTCAGTGCCTTTATGGTCTAACTGAAGCCTGTGCTATAGCAGCAGGCAAAGAATAATCAATGTACAGTAGTAGCTGGCAATGCTTTAGTACTTCTCTAGCATTTCTTATTAGCAAACATCAACAGTGTATCAAAAGTCATTTTGGCTGCCACTAGACCGTTTCATTCATGGAAAATGAGAGAGACTAAGAAGTGATAGGCAACATGGAAGTGATAATGCTGATACTGGCTTATTCTATTACAGAAAGCCGCTAGCTGATTAAGATCAAATGAGTTGCATTTAGAAATAAATTTTTCAAACTAATCAGCAGTGCTGATGATATATGTGTTTAAAATAAGAACTTTCTCACTATACCCCTTTATACAAATTATTCCAACTTCAGATTTTGCTGGTTTTCTCCTATTCAGCCAGCTTTGAAGAGAGCTGCGAGGCAAAAGCAGCCAATAATGATCCTTCCATTTCAAAGCCTTGATTTTTTACCTACATATGCCACAGCCATTATTGTATTACAAGCAAACAATGACAGTGCTGTTGTTTCTGATACTGTTGACACGTTTTTCTTTAATCTGATGAAAAAACACTTTCTCTATCCAGACAGTGATGGGGAAGATTTAGGAAGACAGAAGACTGAAGGCCAGTTACTTGGAGGTAGGACAAAGCGACAACAGTATTGTTTTTTACTAGAGACAACCAATATAAATCAAAAAAGGATAATTTCTGGCATTCTTTGGTTTGACTTTTGAACAAAGGTATACTAACATGTATAGATGTAGGAAAATGACCAGTCAGAATTTGGCTGTAGGAAAGACATCTCCTATGAGATGAAGCTCAAGTAATACTAACTCTCAGCCATGCCTTGTGGTTAGAGTTGAACCAGGAGAATAGCAAAATCTACCGTTGTGGGAGAAGTCCTGCTGCCTGGGTCTGTACAGCTGCCATTGAAATGCAGCAAAAGAGTTTTGAAAATATCTATTGCAGCCACTGCTTATGGGGTCTGCATTCAGCCCTCAGTGCTGACTGGAGATCATCAGAGAGGACCACACCTTGGATCTTGTTCCTGAGGCTTTTCCTTTCCTTCCAAACAAAAAATGAAAAATAAGTGCATTATTGATGAAGAAAATGTGCCACGACAACACACAGAAATAGCTATCAGCTTATGGTATAGAACCATGGATGTAAAGAAGTTAAGGCTTTAATCATGTAATTAATGTCTTAAATTGATCTCAGCCCAGGTGTAAGAGTAGCTCATTTAAATTGATATTAGGAGATCTAATTGTCTTACAGGAGTCTGATTCTACCCAGCTCCAGATATTGTGAGAGATGGAATAGGGGGGGTTAATAATCCATTCATGATTCCAACTTTCAACCTGCATAACCCACAACAGAGCTGCCCTCTCTAATGAGTTCGAGTTGGTATCTACTTTGTTACTTTACACAACCACACTAATTTCAATAGAGTTGCATGAGCTAGGACTGGCAGCAAGGTATGCATACTCATTATGGATATTAATCTACATAATCTTTGCATAATATTTTAGGCATACCAGCAGAGGTTGTTCCCTACAGAGATTCAGGTAAGCGTTCCCAGATAACCTCATCCTGCTGGAAGGAAGACTGTAACTGCAGTTTCTTCTTTCTGACATGCATATGTATTAAAGAATAATCCCCTGGCTGTAAATCCATTGGTTTCCTGTTAGCCTTGTATTGGACCTGGGCATGGTGCAGACATTTTGTTGCAAGCTTGTCCTAGTGGCTGGCTGATAGCAGGTGATTTGTACAAGGAGTTCTAGCAGATTAACCCTTTTTTTTTGTAGGCCTGCCAGGTTCTCACAGGATCAGCTCACAGCAGTTGTCATCCTTTTTAGGGGAAAACCCAGCGATTCTATTGGGCAACTATTCAGTCTTTCCCAAGAAAGCTAGGCAGTTTTCAGCATTCCCTGCAGCCATCTATCTCCTGCTGAACAGGGATGCAAGACTGGGAGGGAGCTGTAACCTGGTTTCCGCAAAACAGCGATACTCAGCTCTGAATGCCTTCTTCACTTAGCTCAGAGCACAGAGCATTCCCCAACAGAAGATACTAGGTGAAAGCCAAATGACAAGCAACAGAGAAACAGTACCAGCTGAAAGGCTGGAACATTCATTCTAAAGGCAAACTTCCTTTTATCAGGCACTGCTGAGCAGCAGCAGAACAGATGTAAAAAGCCCATAGCAGGAAATTTTCGATGGCTTGATTGCATTACGAACCTCATCCCTCCCACTCCCAGGCCAATGCCACATTCATTAGTTAGGAGAGGCAGACAGCCCAACAGACTGGCCTTTTTCAGAGGACACCTGCTCAACCACTTTTCTTCTGGGCAGTGGGGAATAGTTGATGCAACTTGGACTGTTTCAGCTGAGGACAGAGTTGGGAAGAAGATAGAAATTGCAGCATAATCCCTAGGGGAGGTTTTTGAGTTACCTGTCCTCAAGGGGCTACGTCAAATACTGGGGTAGAGGAACACATTGTAATACAATATTCTCCCCGCAATGCCAGGTGCAGAAAGAGGATTACAGTACTTTTTTTGGCTTCTCCACCTCTCACCATGGCTTTTGTTGCTTCAGTTCTAGATTACTTCAATACACCAGACTGAGATGCTGAAAAAATTTAGCTAGTGCAGGACACCATGCCTACTGTATTGGACAGGTTCCAGTGATACACATGCAGCACTTGTGATCCCAGCTCTACTTGGTTTTAGCAACTGAATATTAACATAGAGGCCATCAATCTTCTACTACCCAGCTATTTCAAAGAACCTGGGATCACTATCAATAGTCAGTTTTGTTGTTATCTGTTCTTGGGCCCTTTTAACTTCTTTCATTTCCTGTACTTTCAAGTACTATTTTGTCTATACTGAGTCACCAAATAGGTGAATACTCACTGTGCGTGCTAGTGCTGATAATGGTGGGAAACAATATATTTGTATTTTTACCATCAGAAATAATAAAACTGTGTTGCTTTTCAGAGATTACCAGAAGAGAGGATTCAATTGCAGATGGTAAATACAAACAAGCAAATGGAAGTTTTTCTTGTGGATGGTATCTTTCAGGACTGAGTTTTACTTAGTGATGAAAGTTGTACCAGCTCCTTGATACCTAGATATTTCCTAATCAAAAAGTAGAAGTTTGAGAATAGTTATTAAAATGTACTGTAATGCTTTAATAGAAGAAATACAGTGCAAGTCATTCCATGATGTAAAGTTACAGTGGGACTATTGCATTTAGGAGGCAGATTAATACAGAACTGACACCTGCCAAGTATGAATTGCTGTTCTGATAAATTCTGCGTCTATAGATCATTCATACAACTGCACAGAACATTTGTGAGTCAAAATAGTGCAATGCTATGTTAACATTAATAATCAAATAACTGAGTTTGTCCCCAAACCAGAACTTGCTCAATCCAGCATGCTCAAAGAATCAAAAATGTGACTCCAGTATCAGGTGACACAGAACAGAATTTCTTGGCAAAGTTTAGTTGCTTCACAGTTCAAAAGCACAATAGCAAAAGTCTGTACCTCATTTGGAGTACATTTCCAGTACTCTCTTGTTACATCTTTAGAGAAAACTAAATTCACTGCCAGGCAGTGGTTGCCTGGATGCATAGTTCAATGTAAATGAAATCAGCATCTAAAACTTGTGATAAGTCAACTCCCAAAGGCTTATATGCAACAGACTGCCTGGGGGTCCTCTCAAACAAAAACAGAAAAACTTTCTGCTTTGAACACATCATTGGAAATCTGATAAAATATTCAGCTCTTTCTGACTTTTGACAATATAATCAGAGAAAGAACACAATTTGGCAACTCTGCTCACAACTAGCATAGAAAAAATGCTCTCTATTTAAACCTCTCAAATATCTAGCTTGTTGTTATGCTGTTCTTTCTATGTATCAGTGTAGCTAGCTACAGGAGACTAATTGTCAGCTACAGTTCTTAATTGGGGAGGTGCAGAAATACTTCAACATCAGGCTTACGTAGACTGATGGTACTCATACGCTTAGTAATGAAGATGGTTATATTACTGTAGCTGTGACTGTGCAAAGCACGCAAGTATCAAACTGAAGATCCCTTGTACTACTGCTTTACTCCCCCACTGTAATTCTGAGACTATCGATTGTTCCAGACTAGACAGAAAAGTGTGCTCTAAAACAATTATCTATTGCTAATGCAACCATCTGATTAAGCCTTTAAAAAAAAACAAACACAAAAACAAAAAACCCTGCTCTTTTGGGGGTGATTTTAAAATTGTTGATTGGATCTTTCTGAAAGGCTTGCAGATCTTTCCTTTGAACAAACAGTTTTACCTGTATTCTGCTCCTAGAATTGATTTCAGATACAAAAAGGGAAATAAACTTAAAACTCCTTAATTTGAGAGTTTCACGGCAATAAAAGACATTTCTTTTTTGTAGCATGTAAGAACACTCGCCTCCATCAGTGGACAGTACGGTGGATGGGCATACGGAAGGATGGTAATTTTTAAAAATTTTTTTTTTAAATTCAACTGCTGTCAGCCCTGTTGAACCTTAGTACACAAATAAGATCTCTGACTCTAAAACATTTTCATTTTTTTTCTTGACATGAGTAGTTTGTTGAAGTGCATCAAGGCTTCTCAATGAAAATCATCAAGACTTCTCAGAACAACTTGTGTGCATCTATGTTTTGCAGTTGAGTCTGGTGTATAAGACCTCATGTGGAAATAGACTTTGTTCGCCAAATGATACATTGTACCTTAAGGTGTATTCGTAAGGGCCACGCCTGCGATTGCAACCTAATTTTCCCTCTCTATTTCAGATGAATTCTTTCATTTTGTCATTCTTTGCTTTGCAATTGGAACTTTACTAATTTGCTACTACTACTACAAAGGTAAGGCAAGACTTCAGTAGAAGGATAAATTGTTGCACACTAGAAAAATGAACAAAGCCAAACATTTATTTTGTTGCCTTAGATTGGACTATTTCTCTTGGAACTGGTTTAATCACCTTTGCCTCTCTGGAAACCACTGGGATATACTTTGGTCTAGGTAAGTGTATCTATAGCTGCCAGCTCTGTATCCACACTAGGAATACAAGGTCACACAGTCATTACACTGCACCAGTCTATAAAACAGCTAGTGCCGAGATTCCGTAAATCATCACACAACTATCCTGTAACATCTCATTCACAATTACACAGTGTGGCTGGAGACAAACATGCCTTAGTGACACTGAAGGGAGAAGTTGACTCATTTTTCTCAATGATCACAAGACCCTGAGTCACCTCTTTCTGCAGCAATGGCCGAATGCTAAGTTGCCATGACAACGTGTAATTTTAGCAGCAAGGCAGTCTTCCCAGATAGACTCTATAAGCTGCTGTGCGCTCAGGCTGCCATTCATTCCCCTGGGACTGAGGCAGCTGAACACCCTGAGGAAGAGCTCTCAGCAGAACCTGGATGGCAGCAGCTACTGAAAATTAGATAGAAAAAATGGTGATTCTTGAAAAATCCCTAGGGATGTCATAGGAAAGGTGCAACTAGCAGCAAGTTACGGCTTCCCAGCTGAGAACAGAAATTGCCTTTGTAATCTTGTGCTAATATTTTTGGTAGGTTGTGGATGGTTCTCAGGAATCAGTCTTGTCGCTACTTTGTTATTAATGATACTGCAAAAGTGCTTGGGTTCATTAGTATTGCAAGTGTCAGTGTTTGGGTTTTGCCATTTTTCTATTTTTTTATGTTTTACATTGCTGTCTGGCTCATCTTGAAAAAAATGTTTGTTTTCACAATTAGTGTATCGAATTCGGAGTGTACTTGACAGCTTTGTTCCTCTGATTGGCAAATTCAGGCCAACAGGTAATAGTGATCTTCTTACTGACTGCATGCATATTCCCTAGACCTTCCTGGGTACTTAATTTTGGTCAAGTCTTAAGACCTCTTCTCTAAATTACAATTTCCAGTCTTCTTAATTAAAAAAAAAAAAAAAGAAATATTTTACTACAGTTCATGACAGCTGTTTGGGTTTGAAAATGAATTATTCTTGACTCTTTCCATGTCACAGAGCATTTTCACATTTTTAATACTTTACTCTGTATGGGGTATTAACTATTTCCTGACAATGTCCAAATAAGAATTCTATAGCTCAGTTAAAAATTCAGGGTGGGGGGTAGGTTTCTCTTGTTGGGTCTTCAAAGAGACTCCAAGCTCATGTTTATCCGTGTTCATGAACACAAAACATGAAGAATGCTGAAAAGCTGCATAGATACATGACAATTTGAACACAATAGTCCTGACAGTCTTCTTTTTCTTTATCATACAGGTATGAGGAAAGCTGCCTAGCAGGAGTATTTCAGGACAGTTCCACAAAACCCTTCTGGCTGAATTTCTAGTATTAAAAAAAAAAAAAGCTTTATGAGGCAAACATAAAAACCTAATGGCTAACATGAAATATAGAAGTGTTAGACCATAGAAAGACATCATTCCCTCCCCTCAAAAATAAAGCTGAAATTGCATTACAGGGTCCCATTCTTTCTTCTGAAGTGATTCGTGGCTCAGCAGAGCTTATAAGACAATCTAGATGCAGGTTTGTATTTAATTCCATTAAAGATAAACACATTCTTCCTCTCTCCCCCATGCAACCATGTTAGTCTGCCTATGGTGTATCAAAATCAACAAAATTACCAATATTATCCTCCGCTGGTTCTGGATTAGGCTCTGGATGTTTCAGTAGGAATCTTGGCAACCACAAAGCCACCGCCTCTTCACCCCTTGTGATGTTGCAAACCAGGCAAACGCCAGCTGCTTGCTTACACGGTTGAGCCCCAACAGTGCAATAGCACTGAAGCAGATTAATTTATTGTGGCAGAACTCAATATAGTGGGCGTATAATGATTTCACCCAGTGAAAGCTGGTGAGATTTTACATGCAGTGACATAATGGTGCAGTAATGAGATTATTAACAGCAGCAAATTTCATCTCTTCTTCTGAAAGGAAAAATAAAAGTGCTTGATTTGACTCACCCCCCAACATTTTTCTTTCTTTGAGTAAAATAAAGTGCAACTTTTACATTCCTTTAATTTTATAAGGACATGTTACACATAATATATGTAGGACTAATGCAAGTGTAGGCAGAGTGCAAAAAAAGGGGATACCTTAAATTTTCAGTAAAAATGTAAGGTCTTCATACCCATAGAAGGATGAAGACATCAAGTCAGACACAGAGCCATAAAACGTGAAATTGTAAGGAAAAGTAAATCTAAAAGCCATTAGCCCAAACAGCCCAGAGTTTTAGAGAAGCAATTTCAAGCCTTGCTCAGAAAATCAAAACACTTACTTTTTAGATGTACTTAATTTTAAATTTTAAGCACCAGCGTTGATCGTTCTTGTGTGTTGCGGTTCCATTTGCACATCCAAAAATATGAGCAATTGTATGAAGGCCTGTATCAACACAGCACAGCAGTTACCTAACATGTCAGGGGTTAAATTAAGCAGTAAGGATGAATGCAAGTTATTTCATAATATTTATGTTCTCATTTATATATACTATTTACATGTCTTTGTAGAAATAGCCTGTCACACCAAAATACTGTAGATTTTGTGTTGTTAGTCTGCAAATAAAATCTTGCTCAGACCAGTGTAGCATTGTTAACATCAAATGGCTTTTGGGCGGACTGAAAAGTTTGCATAGTCACCCTGCTCTGACAAAAATTGCTTTTTTAGTTTCCTCTGCTGTATAACATCCTTCTGAAGGGTAATCATGGAAGTCAGGATGAGAAACATATTTTATTACTAAATATGTTTTCAAATTTGGTACTCTGCAGTCAACAAAATAAATTTTTAATTTTTTTTTTTTTAAACAGAAGTTGCTTAAAGGTAAAATGAGCAAAACATTTAAAAATCACCCAGTGGAACACATCAAGCAAGATGAACAGCTCACCCAACTTGGAGCAGCTCACATGAGAGGAGTCAATTCTATAGAAAAAAGCAACTTACATGTTCAGCCGCATCCTCTTGGGTATCTGGGAATTTCCTGCTGTTCTTTCAGATCCTTCTTCTTAAGTCCATCTCAGTGTTTTAAAACACTCCTGCCTCTTGCCCAACGGCAAGGCTCTCATTCTGGTCTCACGTATCACCCTTGCTGCAGCACTGGCCAAGCACTCAAAAATACGATACAAGTTCCTATGAAGAGTTTCAATCTCCTTAAATGAGCTTGTGTTCACTAAGCTACTGTTCTCCAAAAGTTCAGCAAGTCGAGCCCACAGCTCATGGCCCATTCCCATAGCTCTGCTGGGCCTCCACCTCCCACTGTGGGTTCCCCAGGAGCCAGTACATCTCCTTCCACTTCGACATCACTCAGCACATAGGGTACTTCCTTCTTGGCCTTGGTTTTAAATGGCTGGGGGGCAATGCAGAGAGGAGGAACTGAAGCAAAGGCACTAGCCACCCTCCTCCTTCAATACACATTCCTGCTTTTCACTATCTAGTGCCTAACATTTCTGTACAGAAGAGGGGCTACTGCACTCTTCTGGCAGCTTGGGAAGAACTCTGTTTTCACCAAACTCCCTTCAAGACAGGATTTTAGTCTTCAGCAGTAAGTTGGACCAAACACTACTCGATTCACTCTAGGCTACAATGCCCAACGTCTATTTCCCTGCTGAAGCACAGCCCACCCAGACCTTCAGTGAACACCCAACACTTCCACACTAGAGCTCACAGCAGGCAAGGTTAGTTGCAAAGCAGAAAATGCTCCTGCTATACAGCAGGCAGGCAAAGGGCTGCTGCCCACAAATTGTTAAATAACCTGAAGATTTTTCAATGACTGAAAACATTCAGATGTTACCCCGCTACACAACACCCCACAGAGAAAAAAAAGAGATTAAAACCCAGAAGGTTTTTTAAGCTGGTATTTTTATTAGAACTCTCTACATAAAGCACCTTTGCCTGCCTTAAACTTACAGTACTTCTCTGAACACTGCTTTTCTGTAACACAGCACAAGATGCTTCAAACTACTCCGCATTTCTTGATTTGGACACCGCCACCTTAACAGCTTGCACAATGGCATCTTTATCAATGCCAAACATCTTCAGGAGCTCAGCTGACTTCCCGCTTCGCGGTACATGAGACACGGCCAAGCGACTGACTGTGATACCAGGCTCACCCACTACGGCAGCACACACTGCTTCTCCAATGCCACCTATGAAAAAATTCAAACACGACATACATCTGTATGCTTCAACAGGCAACATATAGATTGCATGTATATCTGATCCAAAGGTCCCTGTAAGTTAAATCCCCAATTCACATGCTTATAAGAAACATCGATCACAATATATGTCCGAATTGCCCATTTGTGAAATGAAAACAATTCCCTATTTCAAAGCCATTCTGAGGACAACCAGCCCGACATTTCTGAAGTACTTACAAATTGGCAGTAAGAAACATATACCCCTAAAGGGCACAGAACTGTCAGGAAGCCCTCACCGCTTCAGCATCAGCCACCGAGAGCCAGGTTTAAAAATATATTTAGAGTGAGGAGTATTTACAAGCATACTTAATGTGCTGAAAGTCAACTCCCACCAATCTCAGCAGCATTTAAGATCTCCATCTTTTCGCAATGCCTGTAGATGCCGCTAGGTCCCTCTCCGAGTTATGTAATATATTCACAACCTTTGCTTAGAGCTCAGCTCAGACTGAATCACTGTCAGTCACAGGGACAAAGGACACAACAGGGAACTGCGTGGCAGCAGGAGAGACGCTGGAAGCAGGAGTACTAGGGAAGAAGAAAACACAGGACTGGTGTCAAGAGCTCTGAGACCTGAGAGGAGAGACACCTTGGTGCTGCACTTCAGTTAGGGCATATCCATGAATGCAGGGCTTTTCACAGCTCCAGGCATGGTAGGATTTAACCAGTCAAACTTAGCCTCCAGCCAGAGGCACCTCCACGGATGCGGCTGTAAGATCAGCCTGATGTGGCCTTGCAATGCATTCAGGCTTGTGATGCGTGTACACTTGACCTTCCTTGATTGTATCACACAGCAAAAGCTGTGCCAGTGTAAATCACATGTTCATCACCTCAGAGTGTGATGATTTTGCCATCTCACAAAGCAGCAGAAAAAGATTTGTCCAGAGTTGAAAGATAAACTAGAAAATGATGAGGCTCAGGGATGCTATCACCATCCACAGTCTGGAACAAAAGTATGGTGTAACCAGCACTTACAGTAATACCAGATCACTTCAGATACCTGGCAAGAGTGATGTTTCACCTTAAAATAGGATAATCTCATAATATCTACTAATTTCTATTAGTAGATATCTACAGTATCTACTAATGCCATAGTTCACAGCTGCCCCTTTGCTGATTTCTCCATCTCCCCTAAAACGGGGCAAGCCTGACGTGCAATTCGCAACAGCTGCTCTCTGTTTGCATATGGTCTCATCTTCACAGGACATGTTTGCACAGGCATGCCCCTGAGAACCTGTGCAAACAAGACATGTCAGAGAGCAAGCGGCAGCAGGTTATGGAGTTAACTTAAGCTGGAGGCCGGTCACAAGTGGTGTTCCCCAGGGCTCAGTATTGGGGCCAGTTCTGTTTAATATCTTTATCAATCATCTGGATGTGGGGATCGAGTGCACCCTCAGCAAGTTTGCAGATGACATAAAGCTGGGCAGGAGTGTTGACCTGCTTGAGGGTGGGAAGGCTCTACAGAAGGATCTGGACAGGCTGGACTGATGGGCTGAGGCCAATTGTATGAGGTTCAACAAGGCCAAGTGCTGGGTCCTGCACTTCGGTCACAACAACCCCATGCAACGCTACAGGCTTGGGGAAGAGTGGCCGGAGGCTGCCTGGTGGAAAAGGACCTGGGGGTGCTGGTTGACAGCTGGCTGAATATGAGCTGGCAGAGTGCCCACGTGGCCAAGAAGGCCAACGGCATCCTGGCCTGCATCAGAAATAGTGTGGCCAGCAGGAGCAGGGATGTGACTGTTCCCCTGTATTTGGCACTGGTGAGGCTGCACCTCGAGTACTGTGTTCAGTTTTGGGCCCCTCACTACAGGAAAGACATGGAGTTGCTGGAGCGTGTCCAGAGAAGGGCAACAAAGCTGGTGAAGGGTCTAGAGAACAAGTCTTATGAGGAGTGGCTGAGGGAACTGGGGTTGTTCAGCCTGGAGAAAAGGAGGCTGAGGGAAGACCTTATCGCTCTCTACAACTACCTGAAAGGAGGTTGTAGCGAGGTGGGTGTTGATGTCTTTTCCCAAGTAACAAGTGATAAAACAAGAGGAAATGGCCTCACATTGTGCCAGGGGAGGTTTAGATTGGGTATTAGGAAAAATTTCTTCACCAGAAGGGTTATCAAGCACTGGAACAGGCTGCCCAGGGAAGCGGTTGAGTCACCATCCCTGGAGGTATTTAAAAGATGTGGAGACATGGCACTTAGGGACATGGTTTAGTGGTGGACTTGGCAGTGCTAGGTTAATGACTGGACTTGATGATCTTCAGGGTCTTTTCCAACCTAAATGATTCTATGGTTCTAAACAAAATCCTGGCACAGAAGCTGGGGAAGTCTTATAGAGACTACTCCACTTCTCCCAAGAAGCGTTTTATCTTAAAATTTACTTGGGAATCACCTTAGAAATTCCTTCTTGCATGCATCATGCACTTTTTACCCTAGCTTAAGAACACTACAATAGACCAGCCACAGATTCTAAAATGGCCTGTAAGCAGGTGAAATGAAGGAACAAAAAAGGGTCCAGTGAGAATGCAAAGTGGTCTGGCTCTTCATAGGCCCTGATCTGCAATTTTATAGCAGAAGGAGGAATTTATCTCAGAGTGATGGCGGAAACTGCCAAAACCACCTGACTTCAAGCAGCCTGGAATCAAGCTTTTGGACACAGGGAAAACTTAAGAAACCTGCACAGCAATGGTCTCTCTTGCAATTTAAACTGCAAAGCAGCTGCTGTGAAGCCATTCTGAGAACATTGTGTGCAGAATCACTGCACCACAGCAGGAATTCACAATTTCACTTGGCACAAATGAATCAAGACTTCACTTGGACCAAGCATACAGAAGGGCACCCAAGGCCAAGTTAATCAGAAAGGCAGCCCTGATTAACCCATTATATCTTAGGAAACTTTCAACCCTCAGTGTCATCTTATAATCATAACAGCAATATAAAAGGCTAACCCCTCTCTTTTGCTCTAACTGAATGACAGCATCAGGTCCCATACTTCTCTCTCAGGTCTGGAAAAGCTGTGAGCTCCCAACCCCTGGGGAACAACTGTGTGGGATGTGACCTCCTGGACCCAGCTCACCTTCATGGTAATGGTCCTCAACAGTGATGATTCTGCCCTTGGTCGCTCTTGCATTTTCAAGTATTGTCTTCTTATCCAGGGGCTTTATAGTGAAGGGATCAATCACACGGATGAATATTTTTTCTGCAGAAATAGAATGAAATTATTTGCAACATGAATTTG